CGAACCCGGTGATGCATTGCCAGTTGGACTCATGGCCAGAGATCCAGATGGTCCCAACATGCATGAAGTTGTTCTGGATTCCGACACCGATGTTGAAGTGCATGAACATGGTCCAATTGCCATTCAACCCAATGAAAGAGTTACCATGGGTAGGAAGCACCGTAAAGCAGCGTTGGACGATATTACCAATTTGAACAAGAACGACATGATGATCCAGAATGGACTTGGTTTGATTTCCAATCCCAATCGAGATAGCAAGATAGTTGTATTCACTTCCCATCCGTTCGTGTTCGTCCAGGAGTCTGGCCAGCCTTCGGTCGACGTAATCAACGTTGGTGTGGGGGCCAGTCACCTTGACCCTGAATTTGACCCCAAAGATTTTTCTAATCTGTTGGAGGGGTATCAAAACATTGTCATTGCCATTGGATACAACAATTCAAATGATCCATTGGGACATGGTCGTTTCCTGGCAGAAGTGGAGTTGATGCGCGACTTGGACAGCTGCAAATTTTTACCCATAGATATTATCATGATTGATCGATGGCAGAAACATCAACACCCCCAAACACCATATATCAATGATCATGGTTTAGCATTCACATGCAATGACGAACAGTGGACCCATGAGTTTGAGTCTTAGTTTCGTGGACAGACGATGGACGATGTCTTGTCTTGGAAGTTTCTAGATTGGATTGGGAGTTGGGCCAAGGAAGATAATTTGAATTATCAAATGGGGATAGCGTTTGTGGGGGACATGCATGAAGAAGCGCATGAAGAGCATCAACAACTTGATACCCTCTGGGGCTCCGATGACAGAGCCCAGGTGAACCTTGTTGAGGAACTGATTTCTGAGGAAACCCTCATTGACGAAGTCGAGATTCTAGGATTTCTACAAGATGAGGTGGAGAGACGCAGGCAGTGGAGAAAGCTTCCGGCCCGGGCCCGGGTGAGGATCGCTGTCAGACGACTTCTCCGTCAGTTTGGTCATATGCCGAGGCAGACCATGATTCACTTGCTTCGTGCTGCCAGGGTTCGAACAGAGTTCATTGATGCAGTAAAATTTCATAGGTACACAGCATGTGAAGAAACATCCCGAAAGAAACCCATACACAAAACTGCACTGCCCCACAACTACTCTTTCAACCATAGCTTGGGAATTGATGTTTTTGAGATCATTGATGCAGGTGGTTCCAAGTTTCAAATTTTAAACATGGTAGATCTTGGGACGACATTTCAATTGTGCGAGGTTGTCAGAACAGGCCAGGGACAGCCATCATCCAGTAAATGTCTGAAAGCCCTGCAGAAACATTGGTTTTTATGAAGTGGACACCCAATGAACTTGATGTGTGACCGAGGGTTACATAACCGTGGTGTACTGTCAAAGTACATGGACGATCATGGCATTCAGGTTTATCACAGCCCACTTGAGGCACCTGAAAACC